GCGCAGCAAATTTCTTCATGGCAGTGGCCGAGGGGGTAGGGCGTGACAAATGGGGGCGTGAGAAAAGACTCAAGTTTGGGTTCGCTAACGTGACGCGGGCATACTATATCGCAAAGGCCAACGAGAATACTTTTATCAGGTTACCCGAAGAACACAGTGAACTGGGCATGTGTGGAAGACGGTTCAAGTCAATGTGCGACGCCCGGGGCGCCGTCGGCCATTGGTAGGGCTGCTGCGGTGATTTTGCACGAGATGCTCAACATGAGGCAAGGCGAATATGGGTGACGGGGCATGGCGGTGGTTTCGCTTCGTAGGGCAATCATGTTCATCTTGTTTGGTTCGAAGGAGAAATTCATACTAAACCCGAAGTTTTATATCGAGGCGGGCTCGGGCCAGGACCGTCGTATTTGAAGTCGATCAAAAATTCTCACCCGAATTGTGGAATGGAGCAGGGATGGGCTCTTGTATGAGGCGGGTCAAAGGCATGCCGGGATACTTGTCAAGGAATCGGGCCGGGAACAGTGCGAAGTGAGATGTGAGATGCCAGGTGTAACGCCACCTTGCGAGGGAAGGGGCGGTGGGGCCCCTCTCAAGTCGTGAATTTAAGAAATACTAAGTTTCAGTAGCCCGAGCGAATCGTCTTGCGCATCGCCTCCTCGGATATGCAGACTTCAGTCGAAGAGCTTGCGCTCTGTTTGTCAGCCCCAATCCGAGCGGTATGGCGCAGTCTTGCAATGTTGGACAAGTACTTTAATGGCCATGTCAGGTTTGAGTATCAGTATTCGTATCGAGAACTACCTGGGGAGCTATCTGTGCGGGCCGACGCCGATTATGCAGGTCGCAAGGATGTGCAGCAATCTAAGAGTGGAGATGCCGTGATGTGGGGGTCACATCATATGAAGTCGTGGAATCTCAGTCAGAACGTGGTGGGATTATCTTCCAGCGAGGAGGAGTATTGCGGCATGGTCAAAAGGTGCTTCAGTAACGTTTGGATAGGAGGCGGTCATCGAATACCATGGGATTGTTTGTGGCATCTCGTTGAAGAGCGATGCAAGTGCAGCAGTTGTCATTGCGAGCAGGCGAGGATTCGGAACAGTCAGGCACGTCGAAGTCTGCCAGCTTCGGTGGCAAGAGCAAGTGAGACGAGGAGACGTCAGAGGGATCCAAGTGGGAACTCATGAGAATCTTGTAGGTGCCCTAACGAAGTGTGTGAGTAGGGAAGACATGTCTTTGCATATGCGAGGTGCTAACCAACATCTTATTTACGGAAGACACGAGGTGGCACTCGCTGCGGAGTGTGAGTTCAATCAGTATCTGGGCTGTCATCGCGAGCGGATTTCTAGGGGGTTCCAGGTCTGGATCTGATGGGGTCCAGGTGCTCGCCTGTGCAATTTCAGGGCCGTGCGCACATTGCATGACTTGCCGGTTTGCGACATTTCTCGTGTCGTGAAGCCCCTGCACGTTTACGCCCAAACCTTGGTCGCTTTTGCCTGCCCGGGATATTCCCCTAATTGGGATGCCTTAATGGGGCCTGCTTGGTTCAAGGCTGGTGCCTCCTGAAGTTGCGTTGCCCATTGCTCGGAGGTTCCTCGGGTTCTCTGGGTTCCCCGGCTTCCCCGCCCCCTTCTGCCTCTTATTGTTGCTTTGCCCATTCTCGGAGGCTCCCTGGGTTCCCCCGGATTTTCTGGGTTCCCCTGCTTTCTTGGGTTCCCCGCCCCCAGTGCCTCGTATTCTTACTTTGCCAGTTCCCCGGGGGGCTCCCAGGATTCCCCCGTTTCCCAGGCCCGGGCGCATCATTGCAAGCATTGCCAAGCATTGCCAAGCAGTGCCAAATAATGCCAAGCAGTGCCAAGCAGTGCCAAATAATGCCCAGCAGATGCCAAGCAACGCCAAGCAATGCCAACCAATGCCAAGCAATGCCAAACAGCACCAAACAATGCCAAACAGCACCAAACAGTACCAAGCAATGCCACGCAACGCGAAGCAATGCCAAGCAGTGCGAAGCAATGCCATTGCCAATGCCAAGCAATTCCAGGGACTGCGAAACACTGCGCCCATGCAGTGGGAAGCTTTCCCCTAATTGGGGTCGCGCCAGGTTCATACTGTTGAATCATTTTTTGCGAAAGAGCGCTTTCTGTGGGCGCTTGGAGGTGGGGGGGGTCCAGAACCAAGCTCCTCTCCCCCTCCCGTCCTCCAGGGGGGGGGGCGGTTCGAACCCCCATTTCCCCCCTGGGCCTGCGCCGGCGGCGGCGGCGGCCCCCCTCCTTCTCCCAGGCTGGCGCTGGCACCGGCGGCGGCTGTCGGCGGCGGCGGGGAACGTCTACGAGGACGACGATTCAAGGATTCAAGGGGGGGAGGCGAGGTTCGAACCGGCCGGCGGCGGCGGCGGCGGCGGCGCCGACGACGACGACGACGACGACGACAGCGACGATGGCGACGACGACGATGAGGACGAACACGACGACGACGACGGCGACGACGACGAAGACGACGGCGACGACGGCGATCACGCGGACGACGAGGACGGCGACGACGACGACGACGGCGACGACGACGGCAAGCACGGCGACCACGACGGCGACGACGACGACGACAAAAGTGAAGACGACGACGACGACGATAATGACGACGACGATGGCGACGTCGACGGCGACGACGACGACGATTGCGACGATGGCGACGACGACGACGGCGACGACGATTGCGACGACGGCGACGACGACGGCGACGACGTTCACGTCGACGAGCACGGCGACGGTGACGACGAGGACGGCGACGACGACGACGACGCAACGATGACGATGACGACGACGGAAAACGTGGGAAGCATGCGGTGCAGCGCGAAGGAGATTTATGTCCGAAGTGTGGCCTCGTCACTATTCCGACATTCAGGGCCGAGGACAGGGCTACAAGGGACATTGTCGGCGTCGTCGTCGTCGTCGTCGTCGTCGTCGTCGTCGTCGTCGTTGTCGTCGTCGTTTTCGTCCTGGTCATCGTCGCCGCGTAGCCGCTGTCGGCGCTGCCAGCCGCCGCCGCCACCGCCGCCGCCGCCGCCGCGACGGCGCCAGCGCGGGGGGGGGGGGGGGCGTTCGAACCCCCTCCCCTGGTGCGCCGGGGGGGGTTTCGGGGAAAAGGAGGGGAAGAGGGACGGGAGTCCCCCTGGTTCTGTTCGACGGCGCCGAATTTTTGGGGGGACTCCCGAGTTCGAACGCGCCGCCGAATGTTCTCAAGGCAAGCGTCCGTGAAACGGGCTCTGTCTATTTTTACATATTTCCGTTTTGGCAAGTCGGAGACCTGGCTTCTGGGCGTTGTTCACTGTCAAATCCGTTTAACAATCGCACATGCGTCTGGTGCTGCACTCCTGCATACGCCATCAGGGCGTCGGAGTTTGGGTTTTTGTATTTCGCATCCTATCATTACTTGTCGCATTGCTGTCAAAACGTGCGTGTGAGTTTATACATGTATCCTACAGTTAATTTGCGGCGCGCTCGGCGGCCCAATGGTGCCGAGGGGGGGTGTTGATAATTACCCCCCCCGCGCCTGCTGGATCTGTCCGCGTAAAGCATATGAGAGCGATGTTTCCACGGATACCTTGTGCGGACAGGTCGTCTTTGAGAGCAAATCAGGCAATCGTCGTTGCCGATGCTGTTTGGCTGAAAAACAGTTTCTTTCCAAGGAGAGGCTCCCATTCTATTTTCAGGAGGGGAAGGGGGAGCAAGAAAAGGAGGAGGAGGATGAGGAGGAGGAGGGGGGGGAGGGGGAAGAAAGCCAATAGGAGGGTGTTTGTTTTATGCAGATCTGCAGTTGAGGTCTGGCTCCTCGAGACTGGACCCTGCTGGAGACATTGCCAGGCCAGTGCGTGGGAGCGGCCGCGGAACAGACATTGGATTTCGGGCGCGCTGATTTTGTCGACCCCGCCGTTTCTCGTCAGGTCTTGGGCCTCGACTCTGGTTCGCTTCCCGGGCCCTGGGGCCTTCAAAAAGTGCGCCCACGACGGCGAGCTGTCTGCGGGGAAAGGGGGCCGAGGCCTCCTTGGCGCCCGCGGGTTGGAAGGACCAGTCCATCGGAGGTCCGGGGAAAGATCTCGGCCGTGCTAGCCAGAGGGCAGGGCGCGGGACAGCGCGGGCGATCGGGCGCCGCTGGTCAGCAGCGTCCAACCGATCCCCATCCCCACCGGGCCGTAGTTTGTCCGCCTCGCCAGGCCCGCCCCCCTGGGTGGGGATAGGCCCCGGGAAGCCCAAAAGGGAACAGCGTGTGTCCCCACCTGGGTGGGTACGCCTGCCAGCGGGGCCGAGGCCACGCCGGTGGGGATGGGGATCGGCAAGACGACGCTCGGCTGCCCCGCGCCCGTCGGCCGCCCGCTCTCCGTCCCCCTGCCACGCGCACCGGCGCGGCCCAACGGTTCGAGGTGGTCGCCGATGGGCCTCTCCGATCCCGCGGGAAGGCCGCCAGCAGTCGGAGTCGGAGAATCGCGGCGCGTCGCAGGTGCACCGGGGGCGCGGCGCGATCTGGAGCCCGATGTGCTCCAGCCCTGCATCGCCAGTGCGTCGGTGGTGCATCGGCGACGGGGTGCGCTTCTCCGAGGCCATATCCGCTCCAGCCTGATCCGGGGGGAGGCCGGCAGAATGATGAGGTGGGCTGCGGGCGAGCTTTTTTGTGATTGGCCCGCTTTGGACACTTGAGTTTCCCCTCCCAGACTAGGCTGCACGTACGCTGGAACAAGGGGAGTTGCGGATGGGGAGACGGGTCGTGGCAAGATGTTCGAGACGTGCGGATTGGCCATGACGACAAACGCGTTGCTAGCTCTGTGCCCTCTCTTTTACCAATGCCGCTTTACCAATTCCTGCCCGTCTCCCACACCTTGGCTCCTCCTTCTCCGCTGCTCCTGCATTTCCTGGCTTTTCCTCACCCTCTGTGGCAAAGCCAGTTTGGCTTGGCAGTGGGAGTGGGGAGTGGGAGTCGAGCTTTGGTCGGGTTGCTGTTCCCAGCGCCCGAGCGAGGACAGCGCTTTCTGGCAGTACGTCGAAGCCTGCGAGAGCGTTCTACCAGAGCTGGATGAGGAGGGCTGTGGATTGCAACAAACAATTGCTCCAAGCGTTTGCGAACGAATAGTCTCGAACATCCCAAGGGGTCATAATCGAGGAAGCTGGCGCCACGGTTTCTACGGCTCGACAGGGTGATGCGGCATCTGAGTAATAGCGATTGCGGCTGCAGCACAGAGCAGGTTCTTCCAATGAGCATTCACTTACTGCTCCTCATCCACTTGTCGTGCGTTCAAGTTTTGCTGATCAGCCAATCGCAGGGCACGCTAGAAGTAGCAACGCGTCCTGGATGGGTAGCTCCGTGTGCACGATATGTCTCGCTGAAAGTACAGGTGCTGGTGTGCACTGTGATTGCTGCTGCGTGACAGGTTTGTAACGTTTTATGCCAGGTGTGACCTCTTCCTGATCTTACCTGTCTTCCTTACCCCTTCTTGTTTTCTGTTGGACCTTCAATTTTCTGAAGCTCGCCCCAGAGTCAGGCGCTGTGGCCGGGCGCCCTCAAGATATGCATTCAGCGGTTCCCAGGGGTTTGCCGATGGTATCATGTCCTGCGTGCGATGCTAAATGGTAGTCTGCCCAGAGTCAGCGTTCGGGGACACCTGGGCCAGGGGCAAGCGGGCGATCTCTCTCGAACGTGCTCTGAGTAACCGAGCACGCCGGCAGCGCATCCCCGACAGCCTTCGGGCTATTTGATGCCAGCGAGGGCACAGTGCCGCGACGCTGTGCGCTGCATTGCCGTGGCGGTGTGTGGCGACCGTTGCGTTCTGGGGGCGTGCTGGTCGCCTCTCAATGGCCTTGCGCGTGGTCGGAGGTCTCTTGGAGGCCTCTCGGGGGTCTGTTGGGGGCTTCTTGCAGGTAGCGTAGGTTTTGCGGAGGTCTCCTCGGGGCCTCGTAGGAAGCCTCTTGAGGGCTTCTGGCTGGCATCTTGGGTGCCTCTTGGGCGTCTGGGGGCCGTCTTACCGAGCATCTGGAGGGCCTCCGGGGGAGGGGGGGCGTCTTGGTCGCCTGTTTGGGGTCTGGGGGCCGTCTAGTGCCCGACTGTTTTGTCGAGCTTTCCCGAGGAAACTTGGTTGCATATTTTTTGGGCCGTCTGAGCGATTCTCGGCGCCATCTCGGGGCCTTTTGAGGCTTCTTGGGTCCGTCTTGGGGCTGCCATCTCGAATTGTCTAGGGGGCTTCGTGAGGCTCCCAAGAGCTTTCCTAACGCCGCATGAAGTCGAAAAGCCTTAGAATCAAACGTCATCATAGTCCCGTCTGTTTTTCTTGTTTTTCTATGCCTTTGGCTCCCGATACCATCGATGGAGGGGGCGCCTTCTGGGAGCTACCTGACTCCCTGGGTGTCTTGGGGGCAGCCCTGTGGGGCGTCGCTGGGCCGTCTCGGGTTGGACATACGCAGTTTTCAGCCGTCTTCAGGCGGTCTCGGGCGATCTTGGGGCCATCTTGGGTCCTCGGGAGTCGCTGGAAGTGCCAGGCATGAGGTCCGCCGACCAGACTGGGCGAAGCAACTGGCAGAATAACTGGACACGGCCCACTCCGACGGTGCGGGCGGCTTGGATCTGAAGGGCTGTGCCCCCTGCCGCTGGCATCCCAGGCTGAGTCATGCTGTGGCTGCGTTGGGGCAGCTTCGTGGCATCACTGGGACATCTCGGAGCCTCTCAGGGATATCTTGGGGCTTGTGGGGACCCTGTCGGGCCGTCCTGGGCAATGTTAGGGCTATCTGGAGCCTTTGGGGCTCATCTTTGGGGGCATCTTGGGGCTGTCTTGGGGCCTTGTTGGGCTATCCTGGGCGATCTGGGCGGTATCTTACCGTCAGTTCGGGCCACCTTGGGGCAGTCTTGGGCAGTTGATGGGCTCTGAGGGTTGTCATGCAGCGATCTTCGGGCACCCGAGGAACAACACATATGCAGGCCAAAAACACTGAAACCATCGTGTTTGTTGTTGAACACTATTACTTCTAAAGAATTATTATTGTTGGACCCCCTGGTGCACGCCCCCCGCCCAAAACCTAGGCCGCAGCTACATTTTCATCATTTTTCTGCGAAAGCTTCAGAAAAGTGGATTACCCCCGGATCCGGTTTTTTGTTGACGCTCGTTTTCCCTTGCAAAAAACAATAGAAAATGAAAATTCTTGTTCTTAGTTGATCAAATTTCAAGAATCCCTTGCAAAAAATAAGGTAAAGTGGACATTCGCGCTCGCAAGACGAAATCCTTCCAAAACCTTAGGTTTCGTAACGATTTTAACATAAAAACATCAAAAACCCAATGGTTTTTTAAGAAAAAATTGTCAAAATGTCCTTCCGCGCGCTCTTGCGGATTCATAGGAAACACACCACTTTTTAAACATTTCTGTCAAAAGGGTCTTTGCGTGCTACTTCTTCAGGTGCTTTGAACTTCTCCAACAACGGTTGCGCGCCTGCGAGGGCCACCATCCCTTGCAAAAAATGAGACGAAGTGCACATGCGCGCGGCCGCCGCGCGCGCATGTCGAAATCCTGCCAAACACAATGGGTTTTCAATAATTTCAAGATGCGATGTTCAGAAAACATATGAAAACGCACTACTTTCTCATCCGAAAAATCTCGAAATCCATTCGCGGTCTCTTGATGAATCTTTAAAACCCAAGATGGCCCCAACAGGCGCGCAAGATGGCCCCAAGAGGCGTCCATGAGGCCCAAAGAGGCGCCCAAGATGGTCCCAAGAGGCTTCAAGAGGACTCCAAGAGGCCCCCAAGAGGTTCCAGAGAGGCTCCAAGGTGGCTCCAAGAGACCCCCAAGATGGCCCCAGGAGGCGTTCTAGAGGCCCCAAGAGTCCGCCGTGAGGGTCCAATAAGCCCCCAAGAGGTACTTTCATATGTAACAGATGTGATCAACCTCTGTGGGTGTGTACCCCACGCCAGTGTAGTAGCCAGGGTCGTCCGCACGCCACGAAGTGAAGTGTCCCAACGTCATAGGGCGGGAAGCTGGGTGTGGGTGGTCTCGAAGAGTCGTTTGGATATTTGGTAGAGCTTGAACGGCCCCCCCACGAAGTGGGGGTATTGGCTGGTGTCGCAAGAAAACCCTGGCACTGGGGAGAACACTGAGCGTTCGGGTAAAATGATTGTTGTTGTTGTTGTTGTTGTTGTTGTTGTTGTTGTTGTTGTTGTTGTTGTTAGCTCTCAGGGGCGTCTTGAGGCCCTCCTGGACCATCTTGGATGCATCTTTGGGCCATCTCTCGCAGTCTTAGATTCTTGAGTGAGATCCTCTTCAGGTCGTCGTCAAAGCAGCAGAGCAGTGGTCATCATCATGTTCTTCAGGGAACAACTGTGGCATGTCCACGTCTGGAAGTGGCGTGATCTTGGGGCGAAGCTGGAAGCGTTAGCGGGCGTTGTATGTTGGGTGCTAGTCGCAGCAATCCAGCTATCCAGCTGCATGCGGAAAACCCCGCCACGGTGCCTGTGCAGCAGCGTAGCAGGAAGGAGGCTGAGTACAGGAACAGCGCATTTCCTACGACTAGCCTTCATTGAGCCGGGTCGTGATCCCGATCTCGTCTTCGTCCGCGCGGTAGGTAGGGAGGAGAAGGAGAAGGAGGAGGAGGAGGACGAGGAGGAGGAGAAGGAGGAGGAGGGGAGGAGGAGGATAAGGAAGAGGAGGAGGATGATGATGATGAGGAGGAGGAGGACCAGTGTAAACCCAAGAGTCATCAAGAATGTTGGAATTAACCAACGCTACAAGCTACCTCTTCATAGGCCCTTACAACGGTTCATTCCCGTTGAGGGAACTGCCTCGTTGGAAGACAACCGTTTGTATATCTTGAAGCATGCCAGAACATTGTTCTCGGGATTTCCACGACACGGATCAATCTGACTGGTGCGTCCTGACAATCTGGAATCGTGCCAGAACGCCATTTTTAGATTTCAACCGCGAATCAACATAACTGTTGCACCCGCATAGTTCTGAATCCTTCCAACACACCATTTCTGCTACGTTGATCGTGGGAATCCGTGAAACCCTTGCAATTTGTTTAACGAATGTGCGCGGCGCTTAGGCGAGAGCCACATTTTCAAAAGGGACCACCCTCAATCCGTGAAGCTCTTGCAACTTTCTAAAGCGAATGTGCGCGGCGCTTAGGTGCAAGCCACATTTTGAAAAGCACCCGCCGTCAATCCGTGAAGCTCTTGCACATTTTTCAAACGAATGTGCGCGGCGCTAAGGCGAGAGCCACATTTTGAAAACCACCCGCCTTCACTCCCTGAAACTCTTGCAAATTTTCAAACGAATGTGCGCGGCGTTTCGGCGAGAACCACATTTTGAAACCGACCCGCCCTCCATCTGTGAAGGTGTTGCCATTTTTCGGCTTCAGAGGCATAAATGGTGAGGAAGTCTCAGGCGAAACGCCCAGCCCGCCCTAAAAACTGGCCTCGGGGTGCGACAGGGAGAAGTTTATTTATCCGTAAGGGCTTCGCCCCCTGCCGCCGGCCCCCTCTCTCGAATAATGGGCAATGCAAGAGCGAAAGCATGAGGCCTTAGCGCCGCCGTGAAGCAGCGTCGGGGCTTCACGCGAAGACGGTGAGTAATCGGCAAGACAGATGGAGATTCTGATGATATTGTTGAATTCGGTGTTGTATTTCGAGGGTTTATGGTTTCGGATACGCGAATAGCGCGTTATTTACGAGGGTTTCTGGCTTCGGGCTCGCACATCTAAAGTAATGTACACAGGTTTATGTCTTCGGAAACGCGAATATTGCGTAATCTACGAGGGTGTATGGCTTCGGACACGCGATCATTGCTTAATTCATAAAAAGGTTTATGGCTTCGGGGTCGCAACTATTGCATCATTTACACAGGTTTATGGTTTCGGAGACGCGAGTATTAGATAATTCACAAAAGGCTTATGGCTTCGGGGACGCGAATGTCTCGTGATTTACAAGCGTTTGTGGCAGCCTCTGGGACGCAAGTATCGTTTAATTTGCAAGGTTCATGGCTCCGGGGACAAGAATATGGCGTATTTTGCGAAGGCTTATGGCTTCGGGAACGCGAATATT